AAAAAACATTAAAACTGTTAGTTACAAAAATTAAACAGAACAAGTTATCCATAACTTGGTTTATAGAGATAAACAATTTATTAAGTGATGATTATGGACAGCCTAGGCAGCACTTAGCAAGATGTTTTCAAAATGAACAGAAACATTTCTAACAAACTGTTGAAAGTTATTGCCCTCAGGAGACAGCACTGCAGGTGCTTTATTAATTGGATGGAGGGAGGTAGTACCATTTAGTTTTATAATGTTTACTTGCAGTTCCCCAAAGCTGATGATACTGGTTTGAGCTTTTCCTTACCTTCATGATTCACATATTACCAGAAGCCAAGTGCTTGAAAGTTCAACAGTTAATTTATACGTACTAAGGAAAGTGGTGGTTCCAGTTCCTAAGAGCTAAAATAGTGAGAATATTCCTATGTGCCTTGGCCTGGGTGGAATATGATTTCTGTCATGGACTGGTCCACCTCGTCAATTGTTGCCTGTTTCTGAATGCTACCTTTTAGCTGATGTTGTCGAGGAGCCCATAATCTATAAAATTCTTATCAGTGACATGCTGGGCATCTGGAGCAGGATTGGGAGAAAGAGTTATTTTCCTATTACACTGCAGCACTGTCCAAAAGGCACTGTCCAGCTGATTTCAGCCTAGTGCACTCAGTAGGCTTCGGTGTATGCAAGAAACAGGGGTGGGGGTTAAGAGGTTGGAGGGTGAGTGTATAGGACGATGTAGGTAGGGTGGGGAAGGTAGGGCTGGGTGAAGGGATAGCCATATAGTCATCAATCTACTTCATGCTATTAAACTACCGGGCCCCAGATGTGACTCTGGATTCCATGGCAATATGCATGCCTCTGGGTTAATCCTGAGGGTCAGGGAAAGGGAGAAGAGGTGTTTCAAAGGGTGTGGCCAGGCAACACTCCTGATGTCACTCTCCATGTAGCCTTGGTCTCAAGCTGGGCCCTTTTTCCAGGGGCTGTGACAGCTACAGATATTTCTTTGAAAGGGGGTTATAAGGCATCATTGTACTGTAAATGAAAATGAAGGTAATTTGAAATTCATGCATGAAAGGATGACTGCCTGTATTACTAAGGTACTTTCTTAAATTATTTTTTTACAATCAATTGGATTTAAGGTTGTACTTATATCATTACATTCACTTATATATCCATATGCTTTCTTGAGTAGCAGAGAAAGCAAGAAGTTTGGGGACTTCACAGAGCTCTGAATACTCCCATGGGAGTGTGTCAGGCACAAGAGTGTCAGCATTATTTGCTGACATTCTAAATAATAAAAGCCTTCTCTGACCAACAATTTTTTTTTTTCTACTTGGTATTCTGTTTTTTGAAAGAAAAATTACAGATATAAGGTCTATGAAATTTCCAATATGCTGGTATAAAATGATGAAGCTGTGGGTTTCTCAGCTTTCCTCTCCCCTCTTTGTCACCTTAATTTCTTCCCCTCTTACTACTCTGTCAAGAGGATGGATAAAATCTTCTCAGGTGAATTCTTGAGAACAAAAGCAATTAGAGTGGAAGAAAAAACATGGGGACCTAGTGGGTGAGAGAGTTATGTCAGTATAGGAGTGTGAGAGAATTTGGGAGTTTGGGGATATTAGAGAAAAGGAGCGTACAGGAGAGTTTAATAAGAGCTGCTGTGAATCATACTCTTAGACTCCTTTACCTTCTTGAGAGATACATGGGAGGAAAGACTGCAGCTCTATACCCCATCATGTTTCCTTAGTCCAACATCACTCTGGGACAAGTGACTGGGCTTTGGAATTTGGGGGCTGGAGTGGCAATGTCACAGTTTTGTAAGCATAAAACAAACCAGGCATTCTGTAGCTAACATTGCCATCCTTCAATCTACCACATCTCTTCTCCCTAAACGGTCTCAGTGTTCTGGGATCGGGGTAGGTGGGTGGCATTGGGGGTGAGGGGGTGGACAAGGGAAACCCACTCAGGCTGCTTTGAAAACAATAATACTGGTAAAGGTTCAGGCACGATACCCTTAGAACTCTGGTTCTTTTTGTTTCCCAAACAAGAGTATATTAAGGGTAGCACATATGTCTTTGTCAGAAACAAGGATAGCAAATCAGTCACAGAAACTTCTATCTGGTCCCCCAGAGATTAGACTTTTTTGTTTTAAGATTTTTTTTTTTTTTTAATGTGGACCATTTTTAAAGTCTTTACTGAATTTGTTACAATATTGCTTCTGTTTTATGTTTTGGTTTTTTGGCCACGAGGCATGTAGGATCTTAGCTCCCCAACCAGGGATCAAACCCACACCTCCTGCATTGGAAGGCGAAGTCTTTAACCACTGGACCGCCAGGGAAGTCCCAGAGATCAGATTTTAGAATTGAATCAAACTGCCAACTTTATATAAAGCCCAACTCCTGGCCCACATGTGGCAGCAGCATCGCAGAGCCTGCCTTTCTCTGGCCTGTCCACTGGATTATTGCCCACCCAGTTAAAGCATAACTTCTGGCCCTAAGTCACCAGCCCTCATACTGACTTTACCTCTGTTTCATTTGGACTTTTTGATATTTTCTCATCTTAAATTCTTTATCATTATTTTCCAAATATGAGGAAGATTCATTATCTTGAAAAAGCAGGGAAGAAATTGTTTTATCTGCTTTTCTTCAAAAAGAAGGCTCTTACCTGCCTGCGTCTACAGCCATAGAACAGTCAGAGAGCTCTGTTGACGGGCACTGGCTGTGGAGTCCGTTGACCCTAAACCACAAGAGGCCCAGATTAAATGATTTCAGACTCACTCCATGATCCCTTTCTAGTAGTTCTTCCTCTTCATTATTAAAACATGCTCATGTCTTCAATAAAACATATAAAAACAAAACACAAGAAACATTTTCTCTAACCACTTCTCTTTCTTTTCAGATACAGATTTTTTTAGAAAACAGAACTGGACTTGGTACTTTGTATAGCGCCTCTCTCTGACCTCACATTCACTCCTCCCCCACTGAGTTTGTCTTACATGATGCTAGTGAAAATGCTCCTGCAAAGGCCGCCCATGAAACCTAAACACATAGTTGCTAAATCCAATGGACACACTTCATTTTTATCTTTAAGGGAACTTCATAAAGCCTTGGACATTAAACTCCTTGGAACTGTCTCCTTTTTTTGGCTTCTAGGATACTGTGCTTTCCCTGTTTCCCTGATTACCTGTCTGCCTCTCCTTTCTCAGTCTCCTTTGGGTACACTTCTTCAATTCATTTCTTAAATCTTGGTGTTCCAAAGGTTTGCATTCTTTTCCTATTTCTTTTCATTCTTTATATTCTCCATGGGCTATCTTAACTACGCTTAAAGCTTCAGGTGCAATCAATATGCTGATGATCTCCAAATCTACATCTTTAGCCCAGTTCTTTTTAACTGAGTTCAACCTATATAAATATAAGTGCCTACTGGATATCTTCACTTAGATGTCCCACAGGAATCTTCCACTCAATATGCACGAAATGGTCTCATTTCTATTCCCAAAACTTGCCCTTCTCCCTCTCTCTCAGTCGTAATACCATCAACCAACTTGTCTAAGAAAGAAACCTGACAACTATCTTGATTCTTTTCTCCTCATTCCTTGTTCACTCAATGACCAAGACACATTCGTTTTCCTTATCTAGTAATATATCCATTTTCTTATCTCCTGACTCCAAACTTATTCTCATTTCATAAGTCAGGCCCTGACCTTTCCTACTTTGGATTGCTGAAAACATATAACTGTCTCTGTTTCCCATCTTGTTCCTTGTTTCACACTTTTCGTTTAAATCAGCCCTAGAGTGATCTTTCAGAGATGCAAATGTGATCATGCCATTCTCTTGCTTAAAATCCTTCAATGGCTGCCCATTGCTTTTATGATAAAATGCAAAATGGCCCCCACGCCCACTCTCACCATTACAGCCTCCTGTGCTGGACTGCTTTAGGGAAGACCGGCTAGAATAATAGTTTAATCTCTAGCTATTTCATGCTTGGCTTCACTTTACTGAGGCTGCCAATTAGTGATTTAGAGGTGAACTCTTCTATGCTCTGCTATGAACTGAGGTCTGTTTCAAGTAGTTCTTGGAGAGCCTTTGGCTTTATTGTCACTAAAACCTGCACTGACTTGAACTTGTGACCTAAAGTTGAACATCTGTATACCCTATTGGCCATCTCCTGAGTCAGGAAAGTAAGCTTTGAAAACGCTTTGGTTATTTTTAATAGATTTTTAATAATAAAATATAATATATTTTAAATCTTTATATTTTAATATAAAGAAATATATTTTCAACTTAACATTTGAAATGTTATATGTTCAGACATAGATGGCAGTGGGTTTTTTTTCTTCTACTCTCCCTCTTATAATTGCTTTTCAGAGAGAAGTGGGTAGATCTCTCAACGCTACTGACTTTTATAAAATGGTGGATGAGTGCTTTCATTTTCTTGTCTTGCCATCTGTCTTTTTCTGGTTTTAGCAATGGAAAGTAACAAAAGCTGGGTGTGATCATATCAGCAGGAGACATCCTTGCTCCTGGCTGATTCACAAATTGCCCCCGTCTTGCTTGCCATTTCAAAGAGATGAATAGAATATAGAATGGACAAGAAAATTAAAGGGGCTGCACACACACACACACACACACACACACACACACACACACACACACACACAAACACACGTAAGATTTTCTTCTTATAAAGGTAAGAAGAAAATCAGTAAGTCAAGAAAGGAATTAGAAATACCATAGACCCACACAGGAAAAAATATTTAAAAAGTGATTCAGAAAGATTAGATATGGACAAAAGGAGAGGGGAACTTGTTTTCTTGTGGAAAAAAATCATTTTTTAAATGTTAATAAACTGCTTTTTCAGCTGATAAATAAAATATGGTTTATACAGAATATTCTAAAAGGTAGACAACTAGACAGTTATCAAGGCAAACTTTCTCCTCTTTACCTGTTAGTCTTGTCTACAGCCTGAAAGAAATTATGATTGTCAAGGGGAAAAATCAACATTATGCATCTTACACAAGGATGTCCTCTACCAGGGTGTGAAGGGCACTGGGATTGCGGATCAGCTTGTCAAGGAAGCTGACAATGTCAGTAAATTTTGGTCTGTGATTTCTCTCCTTCTGCCAGCAATGGAGCATCAGCTGGTGTAGAGATGCTGGACAGCCCATGGGAGCCGGAAGTCTGTAACCTTCTTCAATGGACAGAATGACCTAAATGCAAACATACACAGGTTATTCTCTTACTTTTGGGGACAAATAATACATATGCTAAGTTATAATTCCTTTTATAGAGGAAGTAGAAGCCAAAACATTGGTAAGCATGAGAACTACTTGTGAGTACATGTGGTCCAGACAAGGATAAATAGGAAAGTTGTGAACAAGAATTGCAAGTATCTTCGTAGCATCTGCTGACCCCCCTTGAGAGGAAAAATATGTTTTTAAAATTTGTGGTATACATATGGGAGGTTAAATTTCATCCCAATGTCCAGAAGTAGTTTTTGTGTGATTTAGCTGGAATGCCTCAAAACCCCATTAGGACATCAGAAAGTTAGTCTAAGATTGATGCATTTAATACAAACCACATGTGACAAATGTTTTAAGTAAAACTGTACTTCTGCAGAAACACTGAATTCCTGATTCATTTTTTATCCCTTTATAATAATAATGTCAGTGTGTATTCTTTTTGTAGCCATCCTTCCTTCTTTCTTCTTTACTGTCTACTTAATTCTTTATTTTATTTATTTATTTGGTTGCACCAGGTCTTAGTTGTAGCAGGCAGGCTCCTTAGTTGTGGCATGTGGGCTCCTTAGTTGTGGCATGCGAACTCTTAGTTGTGACATGCATGTGGGATCTAGTTCCCTGACCAGGGATCGAACCCAGGCCCCCTGCATTGGGAGTACAGAGTCTTAACCACTGTGCCACCAGGGAAGTCCCTGCCTCTTTAATTCTTCTTCACTTACTTCCGTCTTTCCCTTAGTCTGACGCTGATGTGATTATGAAGTCCTTTCAGAACTCCTAAGGTCATTTAATCTTTGAAATGCTATCAGTGCCCAGCTTAAGGCCACAGAGCAACAGGACATTCAGCCTGAGCATCCTCTGGGCCAGTACTCTCCAACAGAACTTTCCGTGATGACGGAAATGTTCTCTCGGTCCAACATGGTGGCAAGTAGTCACATGTGGCTATTGAGCATTTGAAATGTGGCTAGTAAGACTGAGGAACTGAATTTTTAGTTTTAGTTTAATTAATTGACATTAAATTTTAAATAGCCACATGTGGCAAGTGGCTACTCTATAGGACAGTGTAGCTTTAGGGACAGGATAAGAAGCCAAAGTTAAGAGTAACAACAAGATAACTGTATTATTATTATTATTTTTGTACTTAGGAAATCACATACAAGATAAGGTAAGATATTTAACTATTTCTCTGTTTAATATACTACCCACTGGGAATTTCCTAACAATGCAATAAAGTTGACCTGGAATTTATGTAGCTTATTTTTTAATAAAGTGTTCAAAGGTATTCACGTGACTATTCTTACATTATCTCTGAGAGAAAGACAAAGGAAAGGGTTTATTTACCCCCTTTCTTTTTTTTTTTTTAACATTTGTCTGCTTTTATTTTAAGAAGGCAACGAAGTGTGTAAAGCAGTTTTCAAAATGCCCCAATTGTTAAAATTTAACAAAACAGTTAAAAAGAAAAACTTTGCATAGAGAGGGCACTGAACTGGAACCACATTTTTATAGACTAGGTGGTTCTCTGGGAGGGTTTTTAAAGGATTGTTGCTCAGGATTTGCCTAAAGCAGGGCAGGCTCTCTGAAATCCGCAGCCCCCCCTCTCTAAAATGCCACCTTGTGAGGAAAAATGAAGGTCTTTTAAAAGGTGCATCTTATGGTCCTGTGTAGGCACCTTCCCCCTGCCCCTCAAAATGGAGGTGTCTGGTGGGCTAGGACCCAAGCTTTTCCATTGATATTTCCCCCATTTTTGATGTCGGAAAATTGAGGGACAGACGAATATTTAAAGACAGGCATAATTCAAGCTTACCTCTTCCCTGTGCCAACAACAGAAATACAAAAATATAAGTGTAAATATTGTTATCAGTGCTCTCTTTATTGTACCACCATCTACACACTTTCATTTTCTATAATAATAAAAAAACCCACATCTCATTTTAATTTCTTTTTTAATTGACACTATTTGACATGACTCTAAAATATCTGTAATTTATGCTAGAGGCAGAGTCTGTAGAAAGAAGCAAAAATATGCCTTCAGGAACCTCTTAACTGCTAAGCTTTAGCTTTTTTAGTAATAGGGAATGTCTCATAATCCCATCTGTGTCTTTGTGACCAAAACACTTTAACCTGTCAGGATACTAGCTTTTTTTCTGTTCATTTTATATTCCATTATTGAATAGGATTTTTTCTTATCTGTATTCTGACTACTTTTGCTACCAATTAGGCTTGAATTTTAACACATTTTGCAACACATTTTAGTAAAACAGGATGTGTATAAAAATGCTTATAATGCATCAAAACTACTGTGGATAGTTTTCAAAAGTAACTAAGAAAAATAGAATAGAACTCCATCATAGAAAGACTTTAAAATCCCACCCCAGGAGAGCTCTCTAGTCGATTTCACAGTTACCTAATTATAAGTGCATAGAATAAAATAGATGACAAGTGAAGTTATAGTCTGAGAAAAAAATTAGCTGCCTTTATTGAGCATCATGTGCTAGATGCTTTGCATAGTTTTCTTCATTTACTGCTTAAAACAACTCAATATGGTAGTTATTATTATACCTATTTTTAAATGAGAAAATTTAGACTCAGAGATGTTAGGAAACTTGCCTAAATTCACACAGCATAGGTGGCAGAGCTGAAATTTGAACTTTGTTTCTTTTAGCTTCTAAACTTTGCCTCTGGCCATTCCCTAGGAATGCTTTTCAGTTCTCATGATAACATCTTCCTCTCCAATTTTATATCAACTGATGTAATTTTAGGAGTGATGATTACCATTTTATCTATTGTTATACATCTGCTAATTGGGCTTCAATGTTTTTCTGTTTTTTTGTGGTTTTTTTTTTGCGGTATGTAGGCCCCTCACTGTTGTGGCCTCTCCCATTGCGGAGCACAGGCTCTGGACGCGCAGGCTCCGAGGCCATGGCTCACGGGCCCAGCCGCTCCGTGGCATGTGGGATCTTCCTGGACCGGGACACGAACCCGTGTTCCCTGCATCGGCAGGCAGACTCCCAACCACTGCGCCACCAGGGAAGCCTGGCTTCAGTGTTTTTACTTGGATCCTAAGCTTTATCTTCTGGGTAAATCAAAAACATATTTACTTCATAGTTTGCAAAATGTAATCTCTGGCTGAACAGGGTAATTTCTGAGTGCATCTGAGTCCTGCACACATTTCTATTATTGCATCTGTTACATTGTATTGTAATATTTCATCTGCTTCCTCTCAGGCTAAACATACATAAGAGAAGGAATTATGTCCCTATATTTTGTATTCTCATCCCTTAGTATGGTGCCTGATACATTAATAAATGTTATTGACAAAAACAAAAGCTATTAGAAGAAATTTTGGGATTTGTCTTGATAGAGAGCAGACTCTTAGAAAACCTGGAGTCTCAAGATACCCAAGATGGATTCAAAGCAGAAGCATGACAGCATTTGAAGTACCTCAGAAGGAAATATTAATTAAAAACTGGGGCATCAAGTAGTATTGTTCAAAATGATATAATTTCTCCCTGGTTTGGCTAGACAAGAGCCAGGTGAGATTGGGCCTTGCTCTTGTCTAAGACAGAGGGCACTGGACCCAACGTAAGCTTCCTGTAAAGACTGGTGGTTTCTTACTCCTGTCCAAAAGCTTTACTCTTTTCCATAGACCCAAACGTCCTTAGCTGCTGGGGAGCTGACTTTTCCAGACAACTCCTGTAAACAGCTGACACTTACATCCAGCCTGCTTGGTGTCAAGCAGGCTGTTTACTCTCTTTTGACAAAGTTGCTCTCATGATTGGCCTGTAAGGAGACAGAGTGACAAGGAAGTCTGGTCCTTCACCTGGAACCTTTATCCATAATGTGTTCAGCAACGTGTCTGGTCCCAGAATGCCTTTCTGTGGGGAGAGTGGGAGGTTCAGGGACTCATGACATTGCTTCTTGCTGACCTCTGGCTTTAAAGCTTCCTCTGTTCTTTAACTTGTGACTTTGTGAAATATGTCCTGAGCCCTGGTTCATGACAGATGTCAAACATGAAGTTCCCACCTTATAGGAAAATATTAATAACAACAGTAACGACAGTGACAATAATAATAACAGCTAACAATTACTGAGAGCTCTTGGAAACTTCCAGGTGCCATTTCTAAATGATTTACATGCATCAACTCTTTTAATCCTTACAGTAATACTATGAGGTAGGTACTATTGTTATCCTCAGTTTACAGACAAGGAACACAGAGAGGTTTAATTTGTTGAAGATCACACACGTAAAAATTCCGGTTTTGAAGGTAGCTAGAGAAGAGATTTAAGCAATATGATTCACGAAGATGGTTAAAAGACACAACATCTTTCTAATGGATTTTTAATTTATTTATCCAAAGAGATATATATTAATCACTTAAAATATACTATTGAGCATACTGTGTATAAGGGATAACAAAATGAGTAAGAAATATTTCTGTCTTTAGGAAATGTATAATCTAGCGAAGGTGACCGAGGAGTCTGAATATGGTAAGTGCCATGTAGAACAGGGAGTTATAGAAACTTTTCAGAGGAGTACCTAACCCAGCCTTGAGGAGGCTTCTCAGAGGAGGTGAACTGAATGTAGAAGGTAGCAGGGTCGACTAGACCAGATGGGTCCAAGAGAGGAGATGTGACCCGATCAGGGAATGAAAGTAGATGTCTGCAGCTAGAATAAAGTCTTCAAAGAGAGGAATGGTGAGATTTGAGGCTCAAAGTTTAAGTAAAAACTATATTTCTTGGGAGCATGAATGATTTTACATGCTATAAATACAGACTTTATGCAAAGGGTTTTAGCAAGTAAATGACATTAGATTTATCTTTTGGAAGCTCACTCTGGCTGCAATGTGAAGAATGCATCGGAGGGCATGGGAAGCCCGAAGGAGGCTTGCAGTGGTTCAGGAGAGAGGTCAGGATGGTCTTAGGGAAAGCAGTGGACGTGGGGTACGAGAAGCAGACTGATCTGACAGGAATGC